AAAATTAACTCTATCCCAGCTGAAACCAGGACAGTATGTTACTGTTATTTGTCGCCATGTTGAATATGACAATTAAGATAGAAATGTTGATGTGGAGGTACTTCATGCAAGTTTGGTTTCAAGACCCTTTAATCATTGTATTTTCTGCTGAGATCATGACAGAGGTGTAGATGGTGATTACAGTAATGAAAAAAAGTTGTTTGAAAGTGCTCTGTAAGTATTTTTCTACCTCCATTAGATTATTTAGAAATGGAATTGAGTTACCATGCTGAATAGGCAAACATTGTTCCAAGCTGGAATAGAGAATATGAAAGCTAATTAATTTACTCTATAGTTGATGTGAAAGGCCATTTGTTTGATAGTAATTTTCACGTTTTAAATGTCAGACTGAAATGAAGAACTGAGTAATTTCACGTTTATGCTATAGTAATAAATTTACAAAAAACCCAAAGATATTTTATGCAGTGCACCTTCTGAATCATTGTCTAATACTATAATTTTACTTTGCACATTTATGAAAATCAAGTACAGTTTTAGAGAAATTACAAACATCGCTGTAAAATAAGTTACTTCAGTTTCTAAATCCATCAGTGTCCTCAAGCAGTCAAAAATGAGATTCCATCATCCCAGTTTATTTTAGTATTCTGTGTTAATTCTCATACATTTTACAAGTATTGAGTCCAGCAGCATAAAAGATGTTCTCTCTCAATTCTTAACATGACCCATAAATTTTACCTTTCTTTGAATACCTTTAGAGATAGGGGTGGGGTTGGATGAATTCCTCATCTAATCTCAGAATTTGTAAAAGCATTCTATCTGATAATACTTTTTTTTTCTTTTCTTTTTCTTTTTTTTTTTTAAATTTTTAGATGTCTCAGTGTATCTTTGAGTGATTTTCAGGTTTATATCAATTCTTGAAGGTGTAGTTTCAGAACTGAAACTTGAGCTTGAACTTGCAGTCTTTCAATGACCAGATCTTCAAGAGGGATGCAGTGGTACTCTGTTAATGGATGACATTCTAAACACCTTCATTGGTTTGCATGTTATTGCCAATGCAAGTGAATAGAGTGCGTTCTTTCTTCCTTTGTCATCTTAAGTAGTACTTCAGTTTGGAGTAGCTGGACTCTTATATTTGATAGCTAATCTCCTTTTTGTGGTGCTGGGCAGTGCAGAAGTTGAACTGATACTTTAAAAGGGCTTGCGTTACTAACACGACCTAGGGTTGATTGGTTGCGTTTTTTTCATTTTTCTCTTAGTAAAGTCACTGGCAGTGCCAAAAGGAAAGCTGAGAAAATGCATCCCTCTTTGACAGTGATTTCAGTGCTGAGCCCTTTGTTTAAACCCATCTTTAGCTGTGAATGTTGTGCTTTGATTTAAAACCTTGGACATTTCCAAGTGAGTTAGGATAGAAACAGCCAAATGCCAGTATAAGATCCTTAGAATTGCTGCCATTTGTCATCACTGCTGGCTGTTTCACTTTTTCGTTCTGAGCACTTTTTGTTGATTATCATTACTGTAGTCATTTGGTCAAACAAATTAATTTATACAGTAGGGTCAATACATTACGTGTATACCATGCAATGAAAAGAACTGTTTTGTCCAGAGTGAGATTCTCCTTCCCATGAAAACACTGGACAGCCTTCCAGGTATCTGACTAGTAGGGAGGACAGGATACCCATCGTCATCTCTTGTAATTTTTTCTACCTCAAACACACAGACAGGAAGAAAGCAAAAGGAGAAAACAAAGTCATGCTTTAATGCTTGAGCGTAAGCATAAGATGTTGGGGGGAATAAGGAAACAGCCTGCCCTTTTTTGTGTGTCCTTTTTGCAAGAATATGCTACCTCGTTTCCTCTTCTGACAGCAAGCCCTGTGGACACAAGGTGGTGAAGAGTCAGCTGTGAGGTTCACTGTATTTTCATGTGTTTTATGTTTTTAGAAACAGGAAACTGTTCCGCGTGAAGCAGAGCAGCATGCACTGGTTTTGATCCCTGGTTGGTGTTTGCAGGCACGTTGTGATGGCAGGAACAATAATTGCTGTGATGTAGTCAGCATGAGAACCCCCCCCAGAATGAGAAAGTCAATGCAATGCAAAGAGATTTTCTAACACAGCTCCTGAGGTGTACTGCTTTCGTCTACGCTCATGCCCCTAGAGAGCTGGGAGCATTTCTCTCAGACTTGAAGGAGAATATTCCATTTGAGAGAAGACTGAAGCTTTTATTTTTGTTTTCTCCAATATTTTTTCTAGCTTTAAACTTGAGGAAAACTTCTCAGACTTCATTTACTTAGTTTTTATTCTCAGTGATAGTAGAACAGCTTTGACTGGGAGCATTTGCATTGTTTAAGATTTTGACAAGAGTGTGTTTTGAAACTTGTATTTCTTTTGTCCCTTGCTATCAGGATGGCCAGGCTGATATTCTGTACAAATTTTGGACTGCAGTAACTCAGACACTTTCCTCTCAGTTTCAGTCAGCAACAGATTGTAAGTATTCAGTATAAATGATTTGTAATGTGTTCTGTACTTATTTTGAATCTCTCATTTCAGTAAGCCCTTTGCTCATTATCTCCTCTACTAGAACTATAGCAGTGGTTCAATCAGTGCAGGGTCTGTGAGTTTAAAACTTCTTGGGTTTGTAACCAAACAGGGTGATCCTCCTAAGCTATGATTGAATTTTCAGACAGAAATATTTTCTCCTTCATTAAGTAGTCATTATCTAATAACAAAAATGTATTTTTGCAACTGTATGTGAGGTAAAAATGTTTGGAATGGTATGTTATGCTTTCCAAAGAGAATGGGTTTGCCAAATTCAAAAATAGTAATTAGATTTTAAAAAGCAGTTCTTACAGTCTTTTCTTGTTAAGCACTGATTAGTTGGAAAAATCTGATTTTAGCCATTTTTGGATACCTCTATAAATAGGAGTTCAGTTTCTTCAGAATTGTGTCTTGTCTAAATATAGATAAATGGTTGGTGTTCTGACTATACACAATGTTCTCTACATATGTAATACATAAATGACAGATACAATCAAGGAATATTAAAAAAAAAAAATGCATAAACGTAAGACAGTACTGTTACCAGTACATGCTAACACAGCATGCAGTTGGATCATAGGTGAGTTTGGTACTCTCATAAATACATCTTTCATGTTTGTATACAGTGTATAAAGTTAATCTTTTGCACATACAGATAAAGTGCCTAAGATTTGCATTTATCTTTGTGATCTCAGCTATTACATTGGTCCTTCAAAATTTGGTCCTTCCAGGCTTTACAGCAACAATATAATTTTGAGGAACTAGCTGGTTGATTCATGTTCAGTGGTTGCTAAGTAACTAGATGGTCCCAAAAGAAAATTTATTCATCTTGTGTTAAAACATATTCATTTTACTGTTTGCCTTACGCCTTACTTTAACAGCAGTATGTACATACCCGGAATCTCATATGTTCCAACTGAACATGTGCTACCTGTTTTCAGCACTTGGTTTTAAGATTGTAAAATTGTGACATCAGTTAATGGGATCAATTGACATTTCAGAAGTAAGGGAACTCTTACATTTTGTCAGCGGTACTTTGTGTGACAGCTATTCAAAAATATTTTATTACTTATGATTTTTAATGATGTTTTTTACATAAACATTTAGAGGGAGCGGTTGGATTTTTGAACTGTGAATGATGTTTTTACTTTGCTGCAGCTGAGTTTTGGGGAAACAATGCTTACAGTGAGTAGACTTTCATTTAAGTGACACATCTATATGAGAATGTTCATTTTTAACATCTAAATTCTAAGTGATTGAGTCCACAGACATCAGTCACAGACCTCTGGATAATATAGATCAGAGGAGAACTAGACAATATCAGAAAAATAGTGTAAAAATAGGAATTCATGGTAGTTTACAGAGTTTGATGATAGATCATGATCTGCTTTTATGAGGTTGGGACAGTATTTACAAACATAGCTTCAGTGACCTAAAATAACTGTGTTTGATAATAAATGTGAATCCTCCACTATACAAAATCAGACTATACTTGAGTTGAAAGGATAGGCTGGGTGAAATGGGGCAGACGTCTGGAACTTGAAAAACCTACGAATGAATGGAACAGTGTTAATCTCCTAATGTAATGGGAGATCCGTAAAGTATGAGTGATGTTAGATCAAGATTAACATCCGTTGCTAAGACAGTTGTACATTTGTTTCATTTCCTGTTACTTGTGGCCAGCCTTTCAAGGCTGAAAATAATTCTGATTTTTTCTTCTGGCTTTGTCATTCTTTATTTGACAAGTTTAGGAATTGCATTCTAGGTACCTTGTTTTAAGAAGTGTGGCTAAAAGCACATGCTTCCATAATCAGATTTTTTAAGACTTTGGCTTATAGAAGTTACCTCTGTCTGTTTTAAATGAGTATCTTCAAAGTTGCACAGCCCCACACATTTCCCCCATCGAGCTATTGTTAGAAAACCTCTAGATTTAGAGAGTTCTAATCACACTTTGGACTTAAATGAATGATAATAGTAATAATTAAGTTTGATACCAAACTGTTCACGACCATGATTAGTATCTTTATTGTACAAAATAAGTTTTCCATGTCATGTCTTCCAGTTGTGGGTTTTATCCTGGTGCTTTGGATACGTGCCTTTGTCAACTGTATTTATGTGATAGCTCATGCCGCTTTGAAATGAATTATAAATATTACATTATTAATACTAAAGATAGGATAACATTGTGTCGTGGTTTAGCCCCAGCCAGTGACGAAGCACCACGCAGCCACTTGCTCACTCCCCCTACCCCGATGGGATGGGGGAGAGAACTGGAGGAGTAAGAGTGAGAAACACTCCTGGGTTGAGATAAGAACAGTTTAATAATGGAAATAAAGTAAAATAGTAATGATAATAATGACAATATAATAACAATAATAATATACAAAGCAAGTGATGCACAATGCAATTGCTCACCACCCGCCGACCGATACCCAGCCAGTTCCCAAGCAGCGATCGCTGCTCCCTGGCCAACCCCCCCCAGTTTCTATACTGAGCATGACGCCATATGGTATGGAATAGCCCTTTGGTCAGTTTGGGTCAGCTGTCCTGGCTGTGCCCCCTCCCAGTTTCTTGTGCACCTGGCAGAGCATGGGAAGCTGTAAAGTCCTTGACTAGCATAAGCAGTACTCAGCAACAACTAAAACATCAGTGTGTTATCAACATTCTTCTCCTACTAAATCCAAAATACAGCACTGTGCCTGCTACTAGGAAGAAAATTAACTCTATCCCCGCCAAAACCAGGACACATTGTTATGTCATTCATTGATATAAATGCAAGGATACAGGTTGTTTATATGAATCCAAAAATTAGTTTGAACTTAGCAATGCGTATTCCTTACTGCTTTATTTTGCAGCCTCTATGTTTTTGAAACAAGCTTTTGAAGGAGAATACCCTAAATTACTGAGGCTTTATAATGACTTGTGGAAGCGCCTGCAACAATATAGTCAAAATATTCAGAGGAATTTTAACACAAGTGGAACTACTGATCTCTTTGCTGAACTACAACAAATGGAAGAAGATACACAGGACATATTCATGCAAAAAACCCAAGATTATGAGTATGTATTATGAAGTGTAAGGCAGTAAAATGTAAAGCTTTGCATCCTGCAAGAAAACAGAATATGTTTAAGAACTTAGTGTTATTCAGATTGTCAGAGCGGGAAAATTTTAAAGGCTTTTTTCCGCTCTTACAGTTCCTATTTTAGTGCTGTAGGATTTTCATTAGGTTATATAATTAATAGTGTTGGATTGTCATGTCTTTCATAAAGTCCCTGAGTTTGGAACTAGTTTTATCTTTTTGTCTCTTTGGGTGGAAAAAAAAGCAGAATGATGAAAATTCAGTTTTCTATGTGTTGCAATTACAGCAGTAGCTTTCTCTTAATGATACCGCAATCATTGGAGTGTGACAAATGCTCAGTTTGTTATGATTCACAGTTTTTATGTTTACACATCGTAGAATAAACATGATCGGAGTGGTAGATATCAGAAAGATCAAACTGAAACAGGCTCATCAAGTCTATTAGGACTTCTAGACTTATGTAAGATAAAATGAATATTTTATGTGAGATTTGTATTGGCTTAAATATGTTCCTGAGCAATCAGTGGGAGACTTATCATTGACTTCAATGGAACCAAATTAAAGTGTTCACCAAACTTCTGAGAATGAGGTAAAATGTTCGAGAGCGCTACTGCTTACTCATTTTCACAAATAGAAATACTGAAGACTGAAGCTTATTAAAGGTGAATTTAAGAAGATTCTTTCTGTTTGAAGCTTTCTATATGCATATGTATACCAGGAGATAAATTAGCTATCTTCTAATGATTTATGTGAATATAAAAAGGTCTTTCATTGCAGTTCTGGATATCCTGCTGATATTTTACAGATGTTTTTAGCACTGTTCTGAAGACCACCTTGAACTAGGGATTCCACGTAGGTCTTACAGAAAGTGCTAAGAACTGTGTTGAACTACACAGAATGGTTCCCTGACTAGTTACATGGTTCAAGTGAAAACCAAGGTGTTATACACTATTAAAATCTTTTCAAGTGCGTATGTGTAAAGAGCAGAAAGAAAAACCAGGTTCAATACTGCGAAGTTTGTATAGTCTGGAAATACTCAATGCTATTTTAATTTAAAATGTAGTAATTTTGTCTTATACCCACAGTCCAGAAAAAGCCTTGAAAGATTCACTGCAACAGTATGAAGCTGCTTATTTGTCAAAATCCTTATCTCGACTTTTTGACCCCATCAATCTTGTCTTCCCTCCTGGAGGTCGGAATCCGCCTTCTTCTGACGAGCTTGACAGCATCATTAAAACTATAGCCAGGTATGCATGTATAATACATTACAAAATGTAATCTTGTAACATGTTTTTTCTCGTAAGTTACTATTTTAGAAATGAGGCTTCCTTAACAGTAAAAGGTTGATTATCCTTTAGTTATAAAACTGGTTAGTGTAAAAATTAAGTCAGGATTTAGAATAGAATAGAACAGAACAGAACAGAATATTTCAGCTGGAAGGGACCTGCAGCGATCATCTAGTCACCTGCCTGATCACTTCAGGGCTGACCAAAAGTTAAAGCATGTTATTAAGGGCATTGTCCAAATGCCTCTTAAACAGACAGGCTTGGGGCATCGACCACCTCTCTGGGAAGCCTGTTCCAGAGTTTGACCGCCCTCTCGGTAAAGAAATGCTTCCTAACGTCCAGTCTAAACCTCCCCTGGCACAGCTTTGAACCATTCCCATGCATCCTGTCACTGGACCCCAGGGAGAAGAGATCAGCACCTCCCTCTCCACGTCCCCTCCTCAGGAAGCTGTAGAGAGCAATGAGGTCACCCCGCAGCCTCCTTTTCTCCAAACTAAACAAGCCCAAAGCCCTAAGCTGCTCCTCACAGGACATGCCTTGCAGCCCTGTCACCAGCTTGGTTGCCCTCCTCTGGATGCATTCAAGGACCTTCAGATCCTTCTTAAATTGTGGGGCCCAGAATTGTCCACAGTGCTCGAGGTGAGGCCGCACCCATGCTGAATACAGCAGGATAATCACCTCTTTATTATTATTCATAATTTATTACAAATTTTATTATTTATTTTCTTTTTTTTGTTTTTCTGGAATAGCTGAAATTTTAAGTTTTACTGTTTAAGCTTATAAAGCACCAGGAGGAGAAACTTCACACATACTGTAAATGTCTGATATCTTAATTATTCTGACTGTATCAAAGGGATGATGATAGTTGCTTGGCTGCAAGTGATAATGCCTGATGTAAATACTCTGTTAGAGTGAAACAGCAAGATAATAAAGACGACTATTCCAGGTAGAATTTGTGAAATGAGATGCTTAAATTACCAATGGTGTATTTTCCCTCATATGGTTTTGGTAAGGACTACTCTGTTTAATACAGTCTGAAAATGATGGGCAGTATTCACAGTATGTGTATGTGAGTGTGTGTGTGTAATATTAAATACTGACGCTGTACTTGTGGCTGGGAGTTGCAGATGCTCAGAACATGCCTATTGGTGTGGTTATTGATATTATTTTGCTCCTCGCAGAGGAGAAGGGAAAATGACTTGAAAATTACAAAATTTCAGCTTTTTCCAGAGTGACCTTTAGCTGATGCTGTTTGGGGCCCTGCAGAGTTCTCGGTGAAGGTTGTTCCTATGTCAGGGTGCTTAGTGTCTATCCAGTTCTTCTGAGAGGTTATTCTCATCGCTAGCAACATGTGTTCAAAAAACGGGTAGATGTGGCACTTGGGGACATGCTTTAGTCTAGTCTACCCTTGATTGGCTTAAAGTAGACTTGGTAGTGTAGGTTAATGGTTGGACTGGATGATCTTAAAGGTCTTTTCCAACCTAAACGATTCTATGATTCTATGATGGTCCTTGCGCTTGCCTATATCTTCAGTAGAGCATTTATGAATGCAGCCCCAACCGATGGAGATCTGGGAGGTTCCAGGAACAACAAATACTGGAAGTGATTTAGAATTCTTTTCCTTCTGTTTGTTCCCCGTCATTCCTTTGGGGCCTCTGTTACTATAAAGGATTGCCTAAAACATGGCTTATTAGTTGTGTCAAGCTAAGGCGTCCCCTGGGTATTTCTGCACAGCTCATGTAATTCCAGAGTTGAATGACTGTGTATTCACCTGTAATGTTTGAAGGCTGCTGCCAAAGCTTGAATGTAGTTAATTGCAGTCAATATTTTTGAATGGCTTACTAATAGTCATTTCATACTGAAGTGTCATTCCTAAACTTTGCTCATTTTTACTAGAATAGGAACGGCACATAAGATTCCCAAGTGACTTGTTAAATTGTAAACTGAATTACGGTGCTTAGAAAGACTTGGTTATGTGTGTTACTCTCTCTAAACTGACATGCCACTTAACTACACATTCATAGTTAATTCTTTATCAATTAAATACAGCATTGTTTAGTTGTCAATTAAGATTTGTAATCTTTTCTTCCAGTGAGCTAAATGTCGCTGCTGTTGATCCAGACCTGAGTTTAGCTGTGGCAAAAAATGTGGCAAAGACCATTCAGCTCTATGGTGTAAAGTCTGAGCAGCTTGTAAGTAATTCTAAATTTTTAAAAACTTATGCTTTTCTGTGTACAATGTTCTGGGTTTTGTAGATTTACAACATAACAGTAAAGCAATCTAGATAGACAAAACCTTCAAACTGGCTTTCCATTATATTTGGAAACATTTTCAGCTAAATTCTGCCTTCAGAGAAACACAGTGTATTGATAGCAGTAAAATTTGTCTGTATAACGCCAAATTGAATTTGCCATATTAATTTAAAAAAATCAAAATTGTAATTGTTGTTAAGTAAAATTAAGACAATTCAGTTTAATATTTATCAACATTACCATTGATACTACATCAGTTACATGATACATCGTCCTTATGATATTAAAGTCTGGGCTATTCAAATATATTTTTTCACTATTTGCAACAAAATTTGGGCATTTTTCCCATATATTTATTATTTGCCATATATTGAACTGACCTTTGATTTGTTTGCATTTGTCAAATGCTTCCAGTCATTTGCCATGCACTGTTATCTAGTGTTAAACTGAGTAGAGGAAGGATCCCCAAAGCCTTATCCTTTGGGCAAGGATCCCCAAAAAGCCAATGGATAGTACAGTGAATGTCATCATCATATGAAAAAATAATTTTTAAGATCAGCAATTTTCTCATGAAGTCTGTTGCTGAAATGTTAATGTTTTTCTCATGAAGAGATGAAAATTAATTTTTGCAATATGCAGACCCACAAGAAATGACTATTTGTATTTGTAAACAAGATTTTCATTTACCATGAATTCTGAAAGTGAACTCAGACACCAGTGATGTTCATTTACTATATGGTTCATTTAAAGAGATACACTTGCTAACAACTTTTTGTAATAGTTGGCTACAAAACAGCAATTAAGTTAGTGTGGATTCTGGTTTTGGACACCTGCTGTCTCTGAATAGCTTTAAAATAACTGAAATTCAATAACACGTACCTTGTTTACCATGTCTGTTGGATGAATTGTATTGGAAATTTGCAAACTAGTGTATGGAAGAGGAACATAGGTGAACCAGTCATGAAGGCCTGTAAAGAATATTTAAACTTTTAAAATAAAAATATGTGTTTACATTATTTTGCTCTATATTTAGAGAGTAGTGCTTAAGTTGTGTCTTCCTTTAAAGACACTGAATCGTGGCTTCATAATTTCGGAGTGAAATTTGCTCATGAAAGAAATGAGGATTTTTAGTACGTTGCGAGAGTCAACATGAGTAAAAAATATTACACTTGTGTTTCAATTTATCATGGAGTGTAGTGTCAAATAGTGGCATTCAACCGGAAAAAGAGAGACATATCAGCTGTAACTGTGAAAGTACCAGGGTCTGTTGTGCTCATCATCTCTGTTAGAGTTTGAATCTGGCCAGTGGCTTGTTCGAAAGCATACATCGTTTTCTGATCAGCCAGCTGGCAAATTCTTAAGAAACCCAGAGAAAAAGGATATGTAGAAATAAGCTGACAAGTATATGATTTGTGGCTTTGTATTAGCTGACCTTAATCTAAAAGCATGTAGGAGTAAAGAGGGAGTCTGAGCCCTGAACTTCTTTAATTTGACAACTGAAAATAAAATCTGAAACTTTGAATTCAAACTAAGCAACAGGATTAGTCAAACTGGCAGAATGAACATGAATGTCCTTCAAGAATATACCTGCAAATTGTAAAACAATATCAACTATGTATTGCACAACTACTTTTTTTTTACTTTTTTTTCTTCCCTTACTGAAACGTGTTACAAAATTAAAAACTTGAAGAGCTCAACACAATTGCCAAGGCATAGGTGTATAGTGCTATCTTCAAAGTGCTAAAATATCATGCCTAGCCTCCAGCTGCCTCTCCAGAAGGGCATGGCTCTCCCACTTGTCTTGTGCCCTGCTTGCCAGCCCTGTGGATATGATCTAGAACATCTTAACTTTTTTTTGTACCTATTTTTGGGCAGACAGATTGAGCCTGAAATGTGTACCGTGTGTAGAACAGGAGCTATGTCAGACAGCAGTGTTTCATTATGTTTTAGTGGTGTAGCCAAGAATGCAATCTTCATTCAATCTTGCAATCCAGCCTCCAACGATAGCTTTCTAAAGCTGAGAAGGGTGACCATGTAACATTTCCGCTCAGACGCTTTATTGCTGTAGTAGAGCGGTGCTAAAGATGGAAATTTAATTTCCTGGAGGAATGCACAATTGAATTATCTTCCAAATTAAAAGTAAACACAAGAATCTCAGAATTCTCAGTGAAGAAAGATTGGGGGCACTTTTAAGAGTCATTAGAATTTTTTTTTATGTTGTTGTAATGTTGCAGGTAGATTTGAATGGTGAAAAACTGAAATGTGCAGACGTAAAAAAAAAAATTGAGACATTCTGATGTCAGGGGTTTTATTTATTCAATTTCACAAAAAAAGGAATTGCAATTCACTAAGATTTCATTGCTGTTTCTCCAGTTAGCTTTAGATAGGACAAATAATAAGAAAAATGTCATTCAAGACTCAAAGATTTTACCTTTGAGTAAAAGCAGCATCTAGCAATCTGTACATATAGTACTAAAGCAAAAACAAGTGGGAAAAAATGGCCTCTGCCTGTGAATGCAAAACATTTGTTTGTGTTACTTGTGACCTCGTACACTGCTGGCTTTTGGTTTTCAGCTTTTGCTACACCAAGAACTAGCTGTTGCTGTGCCTGAGACCTATTCTTGTATTAATCAGTTCAAATGATTTCAAAGAAGATATAAATAACTCTCTGTGAGCAGTAGGTAGATATATTCTGCTGTTGGGTGAATCTGTAGCTAACCCTTTGCTGATGCTTGGTATGGTTGGTGTATGCTATGAAGTGTTCAGAATTCTTGTCCTAATTTCACTCAGTGTAATTGCAGATGTTCTTACTATAGAGTTTGAAGAGATAATTATACATTGCACTAAATTTAAAAAAATATTGCTATTAATTTAAGAGTATTACCTTTCAACTTCACCACCCATCCTGTGTTTGGTTGGGTGATGCTGAGCAAGGGTGCTTGGTGTATTTTCTCTGTGCCTTTATTATTTTGTCTCTTCTTATTGACATTTTCCCTCAATCAGGCAGCCCAAACATCTTCATAATGATTACAGACACCGCGAGATTTCTGTTTAGTCACCATTTCTACATCCTTCTCATTCCGGATTGGAAGAGAGATTAACAAATCTGATCATCGTGTTTTGTATAAGAGCAAAATTTTCCTCTTCTGCATTTGCACATTGTAATCCATTGCTTACTTTTTAACATAATGGCTGCTTACTGAGGCAGGTTTTGTTCACTAGCCACTTTTTCATACAAGTGAGGTAGCCCAGATAAAAAAGAACACTAACTTTTCTCCTTGATTTAAGAGTTTTCCAGAGGGGCCATCCATTCCTGTTTGCAAATACCTTAAGTTACCTGTCTTGATTGACACATATAACATGTTGTGCTCTTTTTTAACTGGTCACATAAGGAAAATCAGCTCTTTCATCAAATGCTGACAATAAGTACAGTGGAGGGAAGAGATTAATGAGAAACCAGTAAATTGCATTTCCCAAAAACAAAAAGTTGAGTAATTTGGGGGTTTTTTGAGAATCCATGCTGCTTAAAAAAAGGTAGAAGCTCACAAATCTGCCTCCTAGAGAAATTTTTACCTATTTGTGTAACTGATAGTTGAAAAGAGATGCAAAAGACAGCTTATATCTCAGCAACATCTTCATTAGATGCCTTTGACACGGCAGCAGTAATTGCACAGCAGGATCCTCTAGGGCCGTGGTCTCTAAACTTTTTTGTTCACACATCCCTATCAGTAAAAACTTTTTGAGCATGCATCCCCATTATATGTTTATTTATTTATTTATTTATTAAT